TTTATATCGGTGCAGTCGGAGTCGCGGGCGAAAGCTAGTAATAATATAAGAGTCTTCTTTGTGACAACCTTACCGCTAAGGCTTCCTACGTTTCCTGATATATAAATATGACGGCTCATTAAATTCGAGTGTGCGCGGCGTGTGCCGTTTCTATGTGTAATGTTTATTTCATGCTTTGGTACACATTATGTTACTGCAGTGTATATGTTGAATATTGGTCTATTTTTAACGCGATTAATAATCTACAGAACTTAATTAACAATTTACATTGCAATGTTTTTAAATCTATACTAATATAAAGAGGAAATCTATGTTTGATTGTAATGAAATAACTCAAAAACTACTGGGCCGATTTTGAAAATTCTATCACCATTAAAAATCTACGTTATCAGTGAGTAACATAGGCTATGTTTTTTTTAATTTCACGCGGACGGAGTTGTGGATGAAAGCTAGTCGAATATAAATCAGACGCTTCTAAAGGCCCATTTACATGACGCAATTGTTACACAATAAAATTTAAACAATAAGTGTCTTATAATCTAAACAACTTAGACCTTGGGCCTTATCTGATAGTTCCTTTAAACCTCTGCCTGTGTATGCAAAACTTTATATGTACACTGACAGTTAAAATTTTGCCTAATTAATGCTAGGTTTCCGAAGTTCCCAATTATTTTATCATTACCTAGTTTATTAGTGTTAACCTAAATTTCAATGGAGTAAACTCTGGTTAAATCTTGAACGTATTTCATTAATTTATCGAACCAAAAGCACAAACGAATGGCTAAACATTGCTGGGAAATCTGCCATTAGGAATGTCATCAAATTTCATAAGAAATTATATTGTAATTTTAATAGGATTCATAAACACAATTTTAATTTAATTCAAAAGCAATAAAACCTTCGGATCTAAACACGGATCTTTATTTCGATTCAACTTAATGTTTTAATTCCTTTGTTAGTCAAAGATAAATCGTCCATCTCAGAAATTACTAATCAAGATTTGAAAAAAAAAATATTCAAAGCGTGAAAAGGAATATTCAAAGACTTTTTCACTGTCTGCTTCGGAGTTTCAAGTTTCCTTGTCCAATAAATATCTGTACGTGCTTAACCATCCTTACAAGTAGACGTATCGTTTTCTATCGCTAATGTTACTCTTAGCCCGAATTCTCTCTTGGTTTAAACAATTTGTTAAATTTCTTGTATTATTAACCTTTATTATCAGTCAGACTCAAGGCTGCGCGTTGTTCAGGTATTAACAAAGATATAAAATTGCGTAAGATCCAAATTTATATTTTATCAGATGACATGTATTTTGATGTGTTATTTGAGTAAATAGCAAGGCGTGATGCATCAGTACAGCCGGCGGATAGATAACACCCGCGGTGACGTCACTAATGATTCAGCGCGACCAACTTGTGGTGTCGGGTGTACGCCGGCTGTTGAACCTCGTCGGCCGTCACCCGTCGGTCGTCACTTTGTGGGCCGATTAAAATGTTGCAGTCGACACTTGATTGGAAATTACTTTGGACTGGCCATGACATTATATGAAGTCCTCAATAATTCTTATTAAAAATCAAATGTCGGAGAGAACTGTCTGTGATGGTTCCCAACTTCAAGAGCATAATTTACATTGAACAGAATCCTATCATTAGTGTTGTCGCGTTAAGGCATTTAAATCGTTTGGAGTTCAAACTTAGTGAATGTCATAGACGCCTCGTCGAGGAGAGGGTCGGAGGCCGGGCGGCGCGGGGTGAGGCCGAGCGGAGGGGGGCGACAGATTCGCGAGGAGGCTTCCGCGGGCGGGGTCAGCGACCTCGCCCCCCGCGGCCCCTCGCACGGCGACGGGCGGCGGGCGGCGGGCGCGCCAATGTCAGGGCCGGTGCAGCGGTCAGCTGACGTCTGGAGGCGCGCGGGGGCCGCGGTCGCCGGCGCGCCGCGCGAGCTGCAGTCGGCTTCTAAGCCTCGGCGGAGGCACACGCCTCCGCTCCGTGTCGCGCTATCTCCTGCTGAAATACCGATAAAGGCGGGCGGTGGCGACGCGCGCTACTCGGGCGCCGGGGCTGTCCTCACCGAGTCAGGTACCTGAAGTAGCGCGCGCCGCGGCCGCCGCAGCAGCAAGGCCGCCCTGCTCTCCGCCGTCCCCGGCCGCCGCACGCCCATTGTACTTCATCAGGTGCTCTGGTGATGATCGTTCCAGGCGCTTGTTGGAGTACACTTACCGTGTCGGCGGCTGTCGTCCGGCACGAGGCGCACGAGACGCACGAAGCGCACGAGGCGCCGGCGCACGCGGCTCCGCCCGACCCGGCCCTGGGCGCCGCCACCGCGCGAGCCCCGCGGGAACGGTGAGTCACGTCGGCGACGACCGTGCACCCCGCCTCTCTTTCCACACCCTCGCCGATTCCGCACGCACGCAAATATCATATTTGCATTGGTCATCGAACTCCCAAAGACAGATCTGAACAAAGGCGGCTAAAACTGGTTATGGGATATTTTTCGTCGGCGGTCGCCGCGCCGGGCGCCGCGCGCTTGCGATTTTTCTGAGGCCATAAAACGTGTGTGTGTCGAGGTTAGGCTGGCCGCGGTGCAAGTTGGAAGAGTTACGTGTTTCATTTGTCAAAATGACGTAGTGAGGAGCGCGCTGGCTGGCAGCAGGGCGCGGGCGCGGGGGCGAGGTCGCCGCTGCGCCGCCCCAAGACAAAAATCTCGGAGCACGTGGAGCCGCGAGTGCTGCTTCGCTTCGTGTTACAATAGCAATAATTATATTTTCCATTCGGTTAACTATCCAACAGGACGTCGACGGGGGAGGTGTTACTTTTCACCAGCCGGCGCCGCCACTAGGGGCACTTGAATCGTTTCGTTTTCAACATTTTGCGAGCACGCACAATTCGCATTTTTCACGGTTTGCACTCTAAGCGGGCGCGATAAAGATAACTTTGGCTCGTAGTGTCTAAACGAAGATACATGCGGTGTAAACGACCAATAAAACTACTCGTCTCGGCTGGTCGGCTCACTGGCACGCGTCTAATTATCCGAATGGAGGCAAATTCGATGTAAAAAAGATTTTCGTGTTAAGTGAAAATGTGTCGAATAACGTTGGTAAGATGTTTCGCCATTATTAGCTTTGAATTGGCAATTTATGTTCTTACGAAACAACCTTCGTTATCAGTTGATTTTTTATTTACGTATGTCTTTCGCCAAAAAAGTTAGTCCAACCTTTTTTATTATAAAGAATGGTAATAATATGTGTTTTGTTTTATATTTTACCAAATACAATGCCGAAGGAGCTTTTGTTGGGTTTGTTACTTGTTCCGTTATCTTCACTTATAAAATAACTTGAAGATCCATTGAGAATTTATGAGTACCAACATAATGTATTCGCTAAGTGACTAACGCTGTATTTTCGTTGTCTGAAATGTTTTCATACATTGAGTCAGTGCGGTGAATGGCTTAGTTAAGATTTCTAATTCGGCCTTAGACATCGGCCTCGCTCGCGTCCCTCCATTACCACGAAATTTGGAGCCGTACTATTTGCTTAAGGAAATCCGCATCAAAAATATTTAGACAAAAATTTTCCGCCAGTTAATTACTTGTATACAAAAATTTCCTTTGATGTTTACGACGCAAGAACTTTGCAAAACGAAATGTCGCTAAAATATAAAAAAAACCGTATGTTTTAAGCTCTAGATACGTGTTTTTCTTATTTCTTCGTCGATACTTTGGTCAAATTCATAGAAAATTGTAATGTTTAACGTAGATTTAGCGTAAAATTGGTAGAGGGACTCAACAAAAGTGGGCGGATACACGTTTAACTATTTGATATCGTTTTATTATCGATAAATGGTGAATTGACACAACAAAGCGCAAGTTCTTGTACAAAATAAAACATAAAAAGCGTTTACAAAAAAATTAATTGACTAACTGACGTCAGTTGCTGTCTATTTCAAACTCTACATTTATATTTATTTTATAAGGCATTTTTTAATGAAAATTATCCGATTGTATTATTTTTAGAACCATGTTAATTCTACGTTAACCCTCATTTACAAACTCATGTACAGATTGCAAATAACATATCAGTCAAAAAAAATTGTTTGTTGCGTTTGGAAAAAAATAATTAATTCAAAAAGCAATACAAAAACCTTTCCAATAAGTAAATCACATTTTACGAGTAAAGTCCACATTGTAAACCGTGTAAAATTGATTGAAGCATTCAACGTTTATATTTATTAATAAAATATTGTGTGAATGATTCAAATAATTAAAATATAATAGGGCAAGTGAAAACTTCAACAAATCTATTTTTTCTACTTAAAATGTCTTATTTTTTTACAGGGTATTAATCGTTTCTAGCATCATTCAAAATTCAATGCAATTTTGTCATAATCTGTGAACTGCGATGATTTTAATTTTAATTTTTTCTTCATTATTTTAGTTTTTTTTAAATCTAGCCATAACTTATATGGCAATAATTTACACGATTTTCAAGAACATTTAAAAAAAATTAATGAGATCATAGGCGTATCTTTATTTTATTTGAACTTTGTGATATTGAGTAACGTTAAGTTATACGAAATGTTTATACAACGTAACCAATATTGCGAATTGTGTGGTGCCTTTGTCAAATGTCATTGTACACTTTGTCACCAATTTTATCCAATCAAGCATCTCCCGGTCTATTTACGGCTTCAAATAATAAAACCAGACATACTTTCAAAATTCGAAAATCGACCCACCTAGTTGTCATCAAATAGTGAGTGTAGCTATTTCTATTCAAGAAAACCTTTAATTTTCTGTGTCATAAAGTAGATTGTAGACTGTATTGTGCTTTATGGGTTTTATAAAAACAATAGTTAATTTGATGTTGTCTCCAATGAAGAAATCCACTATTTTTATTATGATTGAACTGACCAACCTCAACTTCAATAGAAGAGTGAACAGCTACCTACTAAGCAAGCGCGTACCATCTTTCGACTGCATCGTCACTTCCTTCAGGTGGGATCGTGGTCAAGCGCTTAACAGATAAAAAAAGCATTTACACATTCTAAAGTCAAAAAGTCACACAGTTTATTGACTTTGTTTATTAGAACTCTTGCTGATAACGGAGGCAAGTAATAATATTAATTGTACTAAGCTGTTTGAGGAAAATGACAATATAAACACAGTTACGAAGGACAATAAGGACACAAATGAAAAGCAGGAGCCTTGATTGAAATTCGAAATTGACATCTAAATTATAAACATATCTTCCTATCAGTAAATCACAACACCTTGAATAACTTAACTAATACACAAGTACAAGACCAACACAGCACTAGTGCCTCTCGTGGCAAATATATAGTACCCAGAATTAATAATTATTACGGAGACAGAACAATAGGAAAACGTTTACCATACATGCTCAATAACTTACCACCTACAATAGCAAATCTAAATTCAAAATTAAAACTATTTATTAAGCGTTTGGAAAGCCACCGTTTTGAAAATAGTCCATGAATAGAATATGTTATTTATACACAGTATATTATGGATGAATGTATTTTATATAATTTTACATAAAAAAAACTGACCTACAACTATACTATACTCCACTGTCACTAGTACACTATATAATATTGTAACACCGCACCCGCGGACAAAACAATTATATGGTTTTTGCGGTACCATATTTTTGCATATATTTAATTTGTGTTTTTTTTTTTTGTAAAATTTTAAATAATTAAAATTCGAAACACTAGAAGATTTGAAAGATTGTGTCTTTAAGACGCTTCTTGAAGGGAAGGAATCTCAGTTTACTATTTAAAACAGTTTTATTTTCTACACACTCATATATTGCTTTTTATCAACTATTACATTTTGAGTGTTTCTTTTGGTAACGTTTTTATTTACTAAGTTATATAATGGAAACTTAACCTTCTAGAACTTATACTTAACACAATCGTATAGTAATTAAAGTATATGTGATTATTTTAATAAAATAATTCTTCTATACAAGTCTAGCAGTAATTAAATGTATAGAAATGTACTAACATCCCACACGACGCCCACGCAAAAGGCAGTAAAGGAATGAAATGTGGAGTTATTTATGTACCAGTTGTTCCAGACTTCTCGCGAGTCCTTGTAACTTTATTTATAAGAGTAATCTATAATTTAATTGTTAATATAATAGTATCGTTGATTCTATAAATATATTCAAAGAATAAATAACATGTAGTAACTATAATAAGTCTCAGAATGAGCTCTCATTTATGTTTTCTCTATTTACCATATCATTTCCGATAGCTTATGTGCGCGCACACTTTTGACTAAACTCGCCCGACTGTTTAGTTGCGCTTTGATTCCTATGACCTAATATGAAGGTGACACTCGATTTTTAGTTGTACAACTAAACAGTTGAATTGACTGCAAAACAATCGACAATCGCACAACTGTCGAGCTATAGTTTAGTCGAAATCTTACGAATTTCTTCATTATTAATTTATCTTTCTTGTATAAAGATAGCTCGGAGTTTAATCATCACTGTTTCACACTAACCGACACGACTTCTAAATCATTATATCGGTAATTGACTTTTGTCTTAAATCTGCTGTAACTTTTTTATACACAGGAATGCTAACGCGTGGGGTCTGTGTACTCCACAATTATAAAAAGACTACAACTTCAAGTGCATTAACTTAAGTTTTTTAAATTACATTTTTAAGTGACATTGTATTTTTATCCCTAAGATGTATCTACGTAACCTATTCAAGTTTTTTTTGATTCAAATGTAGGCTAAGATTGTAAGTCTTACAAATAATAGATTTAATTAAATATTGTTTACAAAGCGTGTTTAACCCTTTTTGACCGACTTCCCAAAAGAAGGAGGTACTCAATTCGTCTGTATGTTTTTTTTTTTATTTTTTTTAATGTGTGTTATGTAACATTGTAATTACATTATTAAGGGAATCTAAAATGTTGTACCTCTTATTAAGGTATTAAGGTCTATGTTGTAGAGGTTCTGAGCTCTGATTGGAAAGGGAACATATTATTTTTTGAAGTTATAGAGGTTTGTAAGTAACCGAGATTTGAGTTATCGAAGTTCTACTGTACATATTTTATATTTAATAAAAAAGGGGTTTTATAAAATTATAATCAGAACACCAATGGGCAATCACTAATACTGTAAATTATACAATTTAAATACAATAAACAAACTCATTGTGCGTCAAATAATAATTAGGTTACGGATAAAATGGATGAATCAGCAGTACATATTGCCACATCAGTATCATATAAATGATTATGTACTGTTTGAAATAGTAATGTGCATGTTTCGACCTCGATCTGTCAAAAAATCCCATAAAAAATGCGTGAAATTTTTAAACGAAATATTTTTTTTTAAATATCTTTTTTTACCGACCCTACTAATCAGCTGGGAAACTATGACTAGGAGTCGAGCTCGCATTCTTATTTCAAACTTAGTAAATGCTGATGTAAGTGACATAGATAAGGCGTTGTTACTTATCTTTAAAACTGAACAATCAGTCCTCTTAATGATAATTTTTAAAACAAAATTAATATCAATTTTTCCCGCTATTTTCTCACTTATGGGGAAATAATCCAATTTAAATTGTGTAAAAATCATTAACACTGCAATACACATAATAAGACCTAATATTTTAAATTTATATACTAAGCTTTTTTAATTTTTAATTTTACTGTATTCGCTTTCTTTGTCAAATTGCTTGAATTAATATCAACACAGACATAAAATATTGTCCTAATGTCGATCACCTATTAAAAGTATATTTTTATATAGCACAAGTTATCAAACTTTGGTAATTACTAGCTGTTCCCTTGCGACTTCATCCGCATGAAATTATGAATACGCTTTTATTGTTTAGATTTGTCAAATTCAATTGCAAATGTCAAGATGACATGACATGAGCCTTGGTTCCTTGATGTTGGCAGCAGCTTATGGTCTCTTTCCCACATTAGGGTATTTATACAAAATATTTAGCCCCTAAGTTTAATGGCGTGAAAATATATAGCCTAAAGCTTGACGTAAGTGTAGGGCTTTTCATAAAAAAGTATTATTTAAAAATATGCTGTAATTGCTGACATCTTAGGCGACAAAGAAGTGTGTGTTTACGCTTTATTATAATAGTATAGAATTATAGGTATAGATGATATAGTTTAGCCAGCAAGAATCAATTAAAGCCGTTAAAACTTGCTCAGTAAGAAATGAGCTTTTTCTTTAGAATTATAAATATACAGGTTAGTTAAGGAGATGCGTAGTGTATTAATTAATATAAAATTGTTGTTAAGTAAGTATTATTAACTAAAATATAGTGTAACTAATTTTGTTTTCTTACTCTATATATATGAAAAAAATATTTGTTATAAAAAAATCTGTATAGATATGCATAACTATTTTTGTGTGTTATTTATAAGAAAGGAAGGAAGACGTTTCAAGACATTTTGAAGAGACAGGAGGCATATCAACAACCAGATCGCAGTTTCAAGCAAATGTATTCAAGCTTGATAAAGACGCGTACAGATATATTTGGTAGCAATGAAAAGTAGCCTAAGTTATGTAATACTGAAGACGCACATATTTTTGACTGTTGACCACATCGCCTTAACAGGAGGGTGCGGGGTCAAGCGGTAGTTAATCTAAA